CTTATGGATAAGTTATCAGCAAAATTGTGTGCTTAGAAGCCAATTCTCCAACGCGAGAGAATTCATTTCAATCATTCAAATTAATTAAGGTATTATAATTTTATAAATAACCTAAATATTTTTGCATAATAGGTTTAGTATTTTCAATTGGTATTATGCAATATCCATGGTGACTTCATTGAGGAGAGTATTAGAAATATTAAAAATTAAAATATATTTATTATTAGTTATGTAAATGTATAAGTTTTACAGGTACAGTATTAATGATGTATTGCACTAATTTTGAAATAAAATTACATTACCCTGTTTGAGGCCCTATAAGTCGCTCCATCGTATAGTGCGTTTTCATTATGTACTGTACAAAAATATGAGAGGGAACATTCTGAATCATTCCATGTGTCTGTCCAAGCAAACTGTAAACTCAAGTATATTACTTAATACTATATTATACCCAAATTCATTACTATATGATATTATAAAAAATGCTTGAGTTTACAGTTTGTTTTCACAGACACATGGATGATTCAGAATGTTCCCTCTCATATGTTTTTTGCTCATAATGTATAATGCGAATCCTACATACAGTATAGTGAGCATAAATATATTATTGAATATAACATTGATACCCAGGTGTCGATGAATGGAATTTAAGTAACTTTAGAACAACTGATTATCTGAGATATCTATGCATAAGTTTAACATAAAGTGTCTACTAAACAGTATCTTAATATAAGATAAAGAGATTAAAATGTTGTTGAATTTTATAAATTTATTTAGTGTTAAATATTTGCAAAATTTTCAAAACATTTATTTTGGTTAGTATTCAACTGAAAAGAAATTTTGTTTAAAGTAAGAGTTATTTAGTTATATAAAAATACTTTAATTGCTGTGAAGTAATATTGATTTGTAATTGATTTGCACTTAATTTGAAATTATTATAAATGAATTTTTAAATTTATAATTTGTTAAAATTTTACGCCCCTTACATTATCAAAAAAATCACTTTTTCTCAGATAGTGTACGGACTATAGGGTGTCAAACAGGGTAATTATTATTTGATTAACAAAAGTCTGGTGATTTATCATTAAATAAATGTATTTAAAATTAAAAACATGTTCAATCAAGAATTTATAACGCAAATTTTCTCACAATCCTTGTAAAAACAAATTCATTAATTATAAAATATTTATATAAATATTGGTTATTGTTTCAATTCATACAATAATCTGTGATTTAATAAAACAGATATAATTGAAAACATGAAAATAATTATAGCTCTCGTATCCATCCAATTGGGATTTCTATGTGTTTTTGGTAACTATTCTCAAAACAATTAATTCTAATAATCAAAATATGTTTAATACAATCATTATATTAACATTGCTTTAGGACTTACTTGTAATGGGCCTAATGAGGCTCTAACATCACCGACACCTGCCTGTCCCCTCACTTGTCAGAGCCGTAACTCCATGCGATGTATGGCTCTCGAAGAAGTGGCGTCGTGTCAGTGCACTAACGGCACGATCAGAGACACGGCTTCCGGAAAGTGTGTCCCTCAGAGCCAATGCCCTAAATCGTGAGCACACTATTCATTTCAATACTGTTTTGAATCGACTTTTAAAGTAAAGTTATGTTGAATTCATTGAACAGAAAACATAAACGAGAGGCCAATGGATGCGGAATAAATGAGAAATACTCAACATTTTCTCCGGTCTGTTACTATACCTGTGCCCACCCGACTGGACCCTTGTGTAAGGCCCTCCGCTATCCCCCGGCGTGTGTCTGTATATCGGGAACAGTTCGCGACACCGTTAACAACGCTTGTGTCAAACCTGCTGATTGTCCCTAAAAATAAATGTATATCTAACCAATATAATTATGACAAATACTTAGAATTTTAATATTGGTATATTTGTGTTTAAAATTCTGAATCAATGTAATCTGGAAAAATCAAATAAACAAAAAAGTTAACATAACTAAAAGTAATATATAAAATAAGTGTAATTTTTTAGCAAATTAAGTGTAATATTTTATTTCAATTAAGAATATAAATACTTTAATGGTTAATTAATTTATTGATGAGAATGATTAATTCACAAAAATATTATAAATTTGGCTATTTTTATATAATCGTTACTATCAATTATATTAAAGATGTTTTTACCAATTTTCAAATAAAGTTGCATAAATTATTACCTAATAAGAGTTTGGTAATTTATCACTAAATGAAATTTCAGTACAATTTGTGACAATCCTTGCAAAAACAAACTCATCAATTATTAAATTTATATAAATATTGGTTATCGTTTTGATTCATTCAATAAGAATTTTATGTTCGCATAAAACAGATATAATTTAAATATGAAAATAATTATAGCTCTCGTATCCATCCAATTGGGATTTCTATGTGTTTTTGGTAAAAATCTTTTAAAGTTTATGCATATTTAATAAAATCATAATGTTATTATTAAATGAGGATCCGATTGCAATGGACCTAATGAGGCAATGACATCACCGACACCTGCCTGTCCCTATACGTGTCAAAACCTGCATCAAATCCATTGCTTTGCTCTCCAAGAAGTGGCGTCGTGTCAGTGCATTACCGGCACAATCAGAGACACCACTTCCGGAAAGTGTGTCCCTCAGAGCCAGTGCCCCAACCCGTGAGTATTCATTTTACTACTATTTTGAAACAATATTTATAAAAGTTTTGTTTGAATTCATTAAACAGAATAATGAGCCCACAATGTCCCACAAATCAAACATATGTTCAATCTATGTCTGCCTGTCCGCCTACATGTGGTAACCCGAGGGGACCCTTGTGTCAGGCGATCATCCGAAAGGCTGGATGTGTCTGTATATCGGGAACAGTTCGCGACAAAGTTAACAACGTTTGTGTCAAACCTGCTGATTGTCCCAAACAATAGATGTACATATACTGAGATACTCAGTATTTGAGTCATATTCTAACATCAATTATTAGAATTTAACAGTGTTTCTAATTTTGATAAAATTTTCACTCAATAAAACCTAAATAAACCTTATAAAAATTATTGCATTAAAAGTTTTAAAGTTAAATATCGTAAATATTTTAGCAAAAACGAGTAATAATTACACAATGTTATTAGTAATAACTTATTACAGTACCATCATAATTTTTGTATTAAACAACATGATTAGATATAAGAATAACTGAATTGTGTAACTCATTTTGAAATAAGTACCTATTTAATAGACTTTGCTAGTTAGTGATTTATCATAAAAACAATTGTATTTAAAACTATTAATAACATGAGATGTAAGACACAACTGTGTTTTCACACACTTTTCTCAAAATCCGTTTGAAAACAAACTCGTAAATCAAAAATAGCTATAAATATTGGAAATCATTTAAATTAATATAATAAAAATCAGTTTTTAATAAAACAGATCCAATTTTATTGAAACATGAAAATAATTATAACTCTTTTGTTAATCCAATTCGGATTTCTATGTGTTTTCGGTAAATGTGCTGAAAAATTAACAAAATAAAAATACTTTTAATAAAAAAGCATTTTTATAATAAATTCAGGACTGGATTGCAGTGGACAACACGAATTTGAATACCAATACACACCTGTCTGTCCCCTAAACTGTCTGACCCTTCACACCGCCCGGTGCTCATCGTATACAAATGTGCCGTCGTGTCAGTGCACTGACGGCACAATCAGGGACACGGCATCTGGAAAATGTATAGCTGTGGACCAGTGCCCGAAGTATACCACCATTTCATTTCAATACTCTTTTATAAAGTTTATAAAGTTTTGTTGAATTCATTGAACAGACAAACCAGACAACAGCCCATTGAATGCAAAGTGAATGAAAGATACGCGGAGAGTGTGTCGGCCTGTCCGACCTCATGCGAGCATCCGGTGGGACCTGTATGTGGGGCCATCATCCATAAGCCTTCGTGTGTCTGTATATCGGGAACAGTTCGCGACAAATTGAACAACGTTTGTGTCAAACTTGAGGATTGTCCCAAACCATAATTGTATACCTTGGTCATTATTTCTGTAATACTGAAAATAAATGTAATATCATAGAAATGAATGTGAAATAAAAGATTGTGGTTAATGTAAATGTGAATTATTGGTAGAAAATAAAATATAACTCAAGCAAAAGTGTGTGCATCCCAGCGGGGATTCGAACCCCGGACCTTTGGATTAGAAGTCCAACGCGCTATCCACTGCGCTACAGGGACTCACTATAGCCTAATGGGCTTAATATATAGCTTTATATGAATGCACTGTAAATGTAGTGCTGTATTGCAGTGAAAGCCAACTCGACACCAGATGTCTCTCGCATTCATTGGTATTGTTTTGATTGAATAGAGAGCACATGTACTCAGCATTGGATTCAATCGGTTGTCATTACTATTGGTTTTGATTTTTATGTCTTTTTCGGTTTGCGTTCAAATCAATTGGTTTTGATTTGATTGTGAAGTAAATGTCAATTGATTTGTGTTTTGAGTATTCATTGAATAGTCTGAGAGTTGTGTTGAAGTAATGGTGCGATCGCTGAGATATGCGGAGAGAAAGCTCTTAAAGAAAGTCGATTTCATTGATTGGGAAACCAATTCAGTCAAAGAGATCGCAATCCTCAGGAAGTATTGCAT